AATATTCTAGGCTTGCCAGTTCATTTGAAAATACAATATGTGTGTTTGACAGAGTATTGTGATGGGATCTGCTGTTTCCCCTGGCCTCAAGAGGCCCACAGACTTTTGGCAGGGGTTGTCCTGGCAGAGAACTTGGGAGTGGAAGCAACATTATTGAACCCATTTGTTTAAATTTCTACTGAAGTTCTACAGTGAAAGACTGCGGAGGTTATTTACTGAACCCATGGTGTGAGGGTCATATAAATATCTCAACAGGTTTAAATGACAGTGAGACAAGACCCTGAGTATTTCCATCTTGCTAGCTTGAAAATTCCAGGTTGTACAGAAAAAGAAAGTTAACTCTTCCATTTCTGTGTACTGTGGCAAACCGTAGAGAGCAATGCAAATATATTTGCTATTTTAAAAGTAGCCATGTGTTCATAATCTTTTTTTAACATCATCTCTGTTTTGCGATCAGCATTTTGTTATATAGCTAGCCTATAAAACAGGCGTCAGTTTATGAATTGCAAACAAATTTTGTGCTCTTACTTCCACTGCTCAGGCATTCTCACTGTTCATACATAAAGAGCAAGTCACTGAAGTCTAAACTGGTGCCCACTCTCTAAAGCATCTATTTGTCAATGAAAAAGAATTCTAAAATAGTTTCTTAACTTCAGAATACCAAACATTTCAGAATAAAATAAAAAAGCTTCTTCATAGAATCACAGAATCATCTAGGTTGGAAAAGACCTTTAAGATCATCAAGTGCAACCTTTACCCCAGCACTGCCAAGTCCACCACTAAACTATGTCTCTGGTGGCCTCATCGACATGTTATTTGAACACTTCAGGGACAGTGGTTCCACCACTGCCCTCAGCAGCCTGTTCCAATGCCCAAGCACCTTCTCTGTGAAGAAATTTTTCATAATACCCAATCTAAACCTCCCCTGGCACAGCTTAAGGCCATTACCTCTTGCCCTATCACTTTTTACTTGGGAGAAAAGACTGACCCCCATCTCACTGCAACCTCCTTTCAGGTAGTTGTAGAGAGTAGTAAGATCCCCCTTGAGCCTTCTCTTGTCCAGACCAAACAAATCCAGGTCCCTCAGCTGTTCCTCATAACACTTGTTTTCCAGACCCTTCACCAGCTTTGTTGCCCTTCTCTGGACCAGCTCCAGCACCTCAATGTCTTTCTTGTAGTGAGGAACCCAGAACTGAACACAGGGTTCAAGGTGTGGCCTCACCAGTGCCGAGTACAGGGGGACAATCACTGCTCTGGCCCTGCTGGCTACCCTATTGCTGATACAGGCCTGGATGCTGTTGGCTTGGCCACCTGGGCACAAGCTGCTCATGTTCAGCTCCATCAAACAGTACCCTCAGCTCCTTTCCTGCTGAGCCACTCTTCCCCAAGCCTGGAGTGTTCATGGGGTTGTTGTGGCCCAAATGAAGGACCCAGCACTTTGCCTTGTTGTTGAACCTCATAGCATTGGCCACAGCCTACCAACCTAGCCTGGCCAGATCCTTCTGCAGAGCCTTCCTACCCTCCAGCAGCTCAACACTCACAGCAAGCTTGGTGTTGTCCGCAAATTTACTGAGGGTGCACTCGATCCACTCATCCAGATCATCAGTGAAGATATTTAGCAACACTAGTCCTAACAATGAGCCCTGAGGGACACCATTAGCTACCAGTTGCCAATTAGATGTGATACCATTTACGATCACTCTTTGGGCTCTGCCATCCAGCCGGTTTCCAAGGCAGTGAAGAATCCTCCTGTACAGGCCACAAGCAGCCAATTTCTCCAGGAGAAAGCTGTGGGAGACCATGTCAAATGCTTTACTAAAGTCCAAATACACAATGTCCACAGCTTTTCTTTCCCTCATCAACCAGGCAGGTCATCTTATTGTAGAAGGAGATCATGTTGGTCAAGCAGGACCTGCCCCTCATGAACCTGTGCTGACTGAGCCTGATGCCCCTGTTTTCCCACACATGCTTTATGATCTCACTTAGGATCATCTGCCCCATAACCTTCCCCAGAACTGAGGTCAGGCTGACAGGCCTGTAGTTTCCAGGGTCTTCCTTCCTACCCGTTTTGTAGAGAGGTGTCATGTCGGCTGACCTCCAATCCTCAACAACATGCCCACTAGAACAGGAGCACTGCTTTTTCCAGTAGTAATGGTGATCACTAGGTCACCCATGTGAAAATATAGTAGCGTGATTATCAAATGCTCAGATATCAATACCTGATTTGTTTCTGACAAGTATTGCAAAAAAAGAAGTCTCACCCTTGCAATGAAGGATGCAACAAGGGTGCTTGGGCTGCAGACTAACAGAGGAAAAAAAAATGAACCAGATACACCATTTTCAGGATTGATCTTTTCCATCAGCCTCCAGAAATGGACTGATGTAAGAAAAATTGTTCTGTGTGAGACCAAAACATGCAACACAATCTGACAAATGAACAACTGCATAACAACAAAGTGGCTTTTCCTCTGACAGCTGTTTCACCAGACGATTTAGTTAGAGGCCAGATGGCCAAAGGGACACATGGTGGAAAGTAATTCTGTAGGATGAGTCCACAGAAGGAAAAACTTGTAATTTGTATATGTTTGAAATGTCCAAGGTTCAATTAATGGAATTAGTATGTAATGCCTAGAGCATTTTGACTGTTCTAAGGTGTGATCAAGCTTGTTCTCACAACTCCAGCGTAAGGTGAAGCTGTAGACTACAGTGTGACTCCTGGCTTAGAGCTCTGACTTACACGTGGCGAATTGCCTCTCCATCTTCTTTCCTAACAACTGATTTTGTCTATGACATCAATCTGTGCCACTTACTGTTCTGCAACAAGTCCTTTTTCTGCCTCTCATCTGGCACTGTGGAGTGTTAGGAAGAGTTAAGAGCCAAAACACAAGTAGATGTAGACTTCTGGGAGGTGCAGGAGAGGTGAGATTTACTCTTGTCTTATGGGAAGTTGCCTGTAGATTTAAATGGGAGAAAAACATTAGGTTTTATATCTAGCACAAAAAGCAGTTTCCAGAGACAAGTATTTTTTTAAAATAGACTTTAATATTTTGAAGTTACAACTCATTTTTTTTTCTATCAAGAAGTACATGATTTAGCTTTATTAGTTACCACCGCTACAAGTTAAACTATCTTTGGAAACTCTAACACCATCTTCTGACTGCTCAGGGAAATGCAGGGATTAGTTTGGCTTCAGACTCCTAACCAACTTTAGATATTTTCAGTATCAAGACTTTGAATATTTGGTTGAAGCTTTAATGATTTCAGTCACTTCCAGCTGATGCCGATGTTGCTTTCTACAGATAAAGCAGCTTTTCTTACAGATTTATGGGAAATAATTCAGGAGTTTGCTTCCTTCTTAATATACTAATACTACTCTTGAATTCCCACATAGAATCATAGACTGTTTTGGGTTGGAAGGGACCTTAAAGATCATACAGTTCCAACCCCCCTGCCATGGGCAGGGACACCTTCCACCAAATCAGGTTGCTCAAAGTCCCATAAAGCCCAGCCTTGAACACTGCCAGGGATGGACCATCCACACCTTCTCTGGCCAACATGTTACTGTGCCTCACCATCCTCACACTAAAGAACTTCTTCCTAATATCTGATCTAAATCTACTCTTTTTCAGTTTGAACCCATTGCCCCTTGTCCTATTTCTATCTGCCTTTGTAAGAAGTCCCTCTGCAGCTTTCTTGTAGGCTTCCTTTTATAGGTATAGCCCTTTAGGCTGTAAGGTCTCCCTAGAGCCTTCACTAGGGAGAACAAGCTGAACATCCTTAACTCTCTCAGCCTGTATTCATAGAGGTGCCCCAGCCCTCTGATCATCTTCATGGCCCTCCTCTGGACTTGCTCTTACAGTCCATTTGCTTCTTATGTTGGGGACCCCAGAGCCCCCTAATCATTGTCTTTAAAGACTGCAAACTGTCTCTAGAGTTCTTAGGACCCTGCAAAGTACAGTGTTGACCATTAGTTTGTCCAACCATTCATAGCTTGAACTAGTGAAAAAATAGGGCAGTTGTCATGATTCATGGCAGAAGGTTTTGATGACACAATGCACACTTCAAGTAGCAATGAGCTGTTGCTGGTTTTCCTCATACTTATTTTTCATTTAAGATCTGTGACTTCTTGCTGCTTCTTCCTGTTTTGATACCTGCATTGCCAGTTAGTAAATCTGACTTCTTTTTCTGTTTGAACATAAAGCTTGTTATAAATGAGCTTTGCCAAAATAAATAAAAAAAAAAATAAATGACAGCTACAGTCACGCATCCCACTTGCTCCTTGTTTTTGAATTTCAGATCCAGCATTGCAACCAGATGTTTAGCGCTCTGCACCCACCATAAACGACAACTGATTTTTGTTAATGCAATAAGATGAGAAAATTGTTTTAGGCTGGCCAATATCATATTGTACGATGCATGTCCTATCCACACAGCTAGAGCAGAAAGCAAATTACTCATTTATTTGATTACTGATAGTTGAAACAGTATGAAATATCTTATTCCTGAATTTCTTTCCTCAACTTCTAATGAAAATAAATGGTCCAGGCCCTGAATAGAGTAATATGTCCATATGTATCAGTTTCATCTGTCATGCTCACATCTAACCTCTTCATTTCCCAGAATAGAAACAGATTTAAGGGGAGCCTCTCTGGGTCCCTAGTTAAACCCTGGTCATGTCAGCAGCTGTGTGTGTGGAGAAGCCAAAGGAGATCTGCAAGTGACCAAAAGGCTCCTGAAGCCAAAAAGCTTCACGCATTATCCAGTTGTCCATGTTTTCTGAGCCATTGTTTCACAGGACAGTGGACTACAGGAGAAAAACCAAAGAAAGAAAAGTGTGAGGATAAAGTTGACCAAAAGAAGTAGACTGCTCTTACTGCAGTACTATAGCACACCTTCTATGACTTGTGCTATCACAAAAAGGTGGCAAAATAGGGGGAAGCCAGAGCCAGTTACAAACTGCTCCTTTGTGTTAATAGGACGATTTCATGTGTCCCAACTAGGTCTTCTGGAGGATGGGAAATCAGTGCAGACAGGTGTAACTACAGCATCAGCCACAGCTGGAACACTGAACACGGAGAAGAGGAACAATTGTGGTTCTCAATGTGTGAACCCTATGGTCCACAACACGGGAGCTACAACGCAGAGACAGAACGGCTTCAGGACTGCAGAGGTAAGAATATCATTATGTTCTTTGACACTCATCAGCAGCTTCAACCAGGTCAAACTGATTTTCGTTACAATCTTCCTTGCTGCAGCCAAACTGTATTTATTGCCTTGGGATAAGAAAAAATGGCTGCACCATGACCATAGTGAGAATGAGCTTACCGTCTCTGACAACACCTCATGCTTGAATGGCCACAAAATTCATGTTTTATTCAGCAGTTGAAGTAATACACACATTTGTCACAGTAAAAAACCCCACACATATTTTTCCAGCTCGGTCCAGTTGTGGCATGTATTGTGCAAACTGTTTAGATTACGTGAAAGACAATAGGTTTTTCCTTAATTGCTATTTTGCTTAAATTATGTGCACTGCATGAACCCTGCCTGGTTCATTTAGAGCTGGATGTGAAGCCTGAAAAAGCCAGTGGGAATCTTTTCCATAACTTCAGCAGGCTTTGGATCAGGTCCTCCTCCCTTCTCCCCCACACAGAATCATAGAACATCTCTATGTTCTATACGTTGTAGAAGGATCACCCAGTGTAACAATAATGTATGAACACCCAAGGCTTTGGGCTCGACCAAAGCCCAAGCTTCTTCTATTCTAGGTGCCTACCTGCCTATCTGTCAAGTTTCCACCTGCTGCCCTGTTTGTTTAGCAGGTACTAAGCTACTGTAGATTAAAGCAATCAAAAAACGACGGTTTACTGCTTCCTTGGTTTCTCAGATGGGAAGACCTCTCAGCATGGCATGCAGTGGAAGCTACACCCACCCCACAAGAAGCTGTCCCCTCTTGGGAATTACATCCTTGAGAGAGGCAAATTTAGACACAGGAGGACTGAGCAAATGAAAAAGGAAATTTGGGTTTAACTTCACCTTACATTTGCTAACAAATAACATGTTGGTACATGTCTATTTTATATATTCACTCTATTATCTTCTGCATTGCTATAATACAGAAATATTCCTCAGTGACATGGATCCTGCTGACATTTCAATGAAGTGTGGGTTCCTGACAGGGGAACCTATGGCTTTGAATGCATCATCCTGCCCTTTTCTAGCTAAGATAGATTCAGTAATATATCAGTACTGTCGCAACCCAGTGCAAAGAAAATTTCTGATGATAAGTAGGGCATTTACACTATTCTATGCATCTGATGCAGATGTCTAAGAAAGGAAGCTAAGCTGCCTAAGTTTCTTATAGTGAAAAAAGAAATGTATTTTCCTACAGTGGAAGTGTAGTATCTAAGTCAGGCTCCAGCTCTGGTTTGCCATTCTGAATCCCTTTTTCTCCACTGGCTGTTTAGGGAAGCATAAGATGAGCAAGTTTCCAGTTTGGGCATCTGAAGTTTAGGTGCCCAGAGTTGAGTGACTATCCCCCTGACTCAGAATGCGCCTATTTTGTTTATCTGAACATTTACTCTGACGGCAGGTTTTCTTTTATCTCTTCATGCTGTAGAATACAATGCGGTGCAGCACATGGTGCTTTCAGGAGACTTGGGTTCTGCCATCAGCCTGTGGGGTAGTAGGGAGGAAATTGCTTTACCTCTCTGTTTCTCATTTTCTCAGGCATCAAGCTCTACAGCATCCAATTGCCTTACCCCTAGCATCAGCTATGTGACAAGGTACAATCTGTGGTATTGAAAGAGAAATAGTTTAACAAATGCTGCATCTGGGAAACTAGTATCCTCTCGTGAGGGTAATTTCCAAACAACTTGGAAGTAAAAGATGCTGCCGCTGAAAGATTCCTAATACCAGTGAAGGCAATAGAATGGTCAGGCACCCCCAAAAGCAAAGGTGGTATCCAGATTATGCCACTGACTGACAATAACCTGATCTGATTTTCATGACGTGTAGTCTTTGGAGAGCCCTTGTGTGGACAGGAGCACTGGGGGAGCAGATAGAAAAGGAGCAGGTATATTCAGGCTGCAGAAGTCTGATGTAATACACAGCCGCAAAAAAACACCAAGTTTTGCTCTCAGGTAAATATGTACCTTCCACTCATGTCAGTGGAAGTTCACCGGACGTTATTGCACTTGGCATTGTTACCATGTAAATGATGCCTAGTTTACCTGGCGTTCTTTACACTCACAACTTGTTACATGAGACACTGGAAATGCGATAATCAAACCCACCTAACTTAACTCTGTCTCCATCAGCCTGGTTCTGAGTGTCCTTTGCAGTATAGTATGCTGCTTATGGCAACCAGCAGACAGATCAGGAGATGAAGAAGGATAAATTTAAATTAGGGGTGTAATGGCATGCCTCAGACAGAATGACTTTTTTGAATATTTGGAAATAATCTGATGAAGCTCTGAAAGGCATGTATTCTACTTGGGTCTTGCAGGCAGAGCTAAGTGCTATTTTGAAACAATCTTTTCAGTTAAGAAATATAAAGTAGAGAAAATTCTTTCTCAGGCTAGTCACACTCAACTCCTAATGACATCAAAAGGAACCTCTAATTTCCACTTCTGGACTGAAACCAGATTTATTTGCTTTTAGAATACACATGTGCAGAGATGATGATTATAACCAAGAGGGTTGATCCAAAGCCTACTGACGTCCACAGCCTTTATAGCAGTTATAAAAGCTTGCGTCCATGCTGAATGAGAAAGTTGCTCCGCATCACAGCACTGTGTAAAGAATGCTGGAGGCATTCTGTTGATTAAGTAGAACTATTGTCATAAATTAGGAGGTAATCGTCAATGACTCTTCGTGCTGTCAGTGTGGAACTCACTGTACTCTCTAAAACTTTCAGAGTAAATGGGACACACAGAAAATGTCCACAAAGGAAGTCGCCATTAATGCTACAAAAACCATCAGACAAAACGACAGAAGGAAAACAAAGAATTGTGCTAATTAACGGGGGAAAGTGCAAGTGAGGATGAACCTAACAATGCTTCACTGCAATTTAAATGTCATCAGTCACTGAAGATATGAAGATCTCCAGATGTTCCAGGTTGGAATGAAGCAGGCTGCTGCTGCCGAGCACCTTCAGAAGCATGTCTTGTAGAAGCCAGCTGCAGACACTGTACGATGTTCGGATGTCATTTGCCTAAAGCAGTGGCACTGCGCAGACATGTGACAAAATTTGTGCCATTAGGTTTTACTAAGTCTTGTGCTATTTCCTTGTACATCCTGTTCTGCGTTACTGTTAGGATGAGGCTGGATGATGAGAGGTACAGAAACTAGGAAATGAACAAATTAATCTGCATTTTTAGTCATAAAAGGTAAACCCATGGAATTCATTTAAACTGCTCACTATCATAAAAATCAAACCCAGAAAGTGACACAAAGGTGGTTCCCACTAAATCTCTTTTAAACTATATATTGGTTATACATAGCTAAGTCATATACTAACCTTTTCATATATCAATATTTTAATTAGTTTTAATTTATTTTCTGTATTGACAGGTTTTAGGTCTTAAACCCAGTATCTTTCATACTGAGCAGCATTCCTTGAAGTTCCTCGTCTTAGCTGGCAGGTAGGGTTCTGGCTATTTGGTTATTTAATTATGTTGAGGCCCTGACTGATTTGGAAAAAAGTTATCATTACCATTGCATGAAAATAACTGTAATTCCTAGAACCATATTGCAATGACAGTTCCAAAAATTAACTTTATTTGATGAGATACAGTTGATCTGCTGTGCAGATACTTACCTGTATCATAGTACTTTATGTTTATCACAAATACACAGCTAGAAGGAATATAAATGTTCAGTGTAGTAAAGACCAGGAATTAATTCAACATATTACTTCTTAATATAAAAGGAATAGTATATATTCTCTGTGAATCTGTTTATGAAGATAAAAGAGTTAAATTTATTCGCCTCCCCCGTCAGACATGAGTAACCTTAGAGGGCCATTTAAAATAACTATTCAGAAGTTGTTCATAAAAAACAGATGGCACTGCGAAGAAAATCCATGTATGAACTGTAAAAAGTCCTTTTTACATATTAGGCAAATAAGTATAAATAAAATTGTGGGACTGAATCCTAATTTATTCCATATTATTTGCCTGATCATTAGGATCATTTCAGTAACTTGCTGCTAGGTGTGTGAGTATTTAGTACTTTCCTTGGAGTAAAACATGTCCATGCAATAGGGAATTGTTTATTAATTATTCCAACAAAGCGGCAAACTGAAATCTAGAGTCAGAGTGAGATTTCTGCATACAATGGCATACTTTAAGAAATACTTACTTTAGATGTTTTAAAAGGAGAAAAGAATTTTTGGTAAGCTTTCTGCTGGTCAGTGTGTTACCTGGTAAGTGATCTGGTGCTGTAAATTTACATAGAAGATCTAAAAAAATATTGAAAATAGTGCTGTATGGGTAAGACAAAGGCAGTCTGCGCACGTCCTTCCAACTCGTGGCTTTCTGCCAACTTGCTAGCAACATTATAGGACAGAAAGGGCCTGACTCACTCTAACAATAAACAGTGGCTGTAGCAGCTCAGCAACATTAATTAAGAAATGGATAGCCATTGTTGGTGGCCATGTACTGACCTAATTGAAAGCACATGGTCAGGATCCTGCATCATTTGCATATAACAGAAGATGAACCATTTCAGATCTGTGCCAAACTTATAGCTCACTTTTGTTTCAAAGGATTTACTGGCAAAGAGAGTGCAGTGTAAACCCATATGATGCAGGAAAGCTATAGAAAGTGATTGATGATGCTGGTGTATGAAAGAGTAGAAGGGATTTTGAAGGAAGACAGAAGGGAAGCTTCATTGTGTAAGAAACTGTTCCACAGAGAGTTGCCTTGGGTGGATACCACATTTAGGGCATCTAGATGCAAGAACAAAGACATCCTGGTGGTGAGATGATTTATGAGCTGAGAAATTTTGTAATGTTTTGCTGACCAGATGCATCCAATGGCTTGGGCACACAACAGAACCAAGCCTTCAATGCTGCATAGCGCATTGGTACATGAAACAGCCCTAGCTGCATGTCAGCATTCAGCAGACAGACAATTTTGGAGTCTGAATACAAGAGAATGAGATGAGATTGGGTGGTTAGCAGGAGATGGACTTAGTACAAAATTATCTGAGCAGTGTTACAGACCTTGCTTATGTTGACCACATCCCCCATCAGGGTGGCAGCAGTAGAGTAAAGTCTGACTGCCCTGTATCACTTCTCTCTCTGCTCATGATAACTTCCCTGAGATACTTCAAGATCCCCTAAACCTGTCTATATCCTGAAACTTAACTTTAGGGCATTCAAAGGCTGGATTCAACTTCTGTGGTACAAACCATGTCTAATGACAAGCAACTTCATACATTCTTCTCACATGACACATTACTGTTCTTATTCGTTAAGCAGTCACTGAAAAGAAACTACATTATGTCTTAGGTGGGTTCTTAGTTCTTGATGTGTAACCTTCCAGTGACCTTAACAAAACTAAAAGTATGCCTCTATACATAGTTAAGGTTATATTTGTTTACTTTCCTTCTGCTAGAGCCAACTACCAGTAGAAACAACCAATTTGTTTATAAAATAATATACCACTCTGTATAATTAAGGGTGACAGAATCTAGTCCACACTGCTTAAGACAGTTTAAAGTCCTAAAAATAGATCCCTGTGGTGGTATTAGTGGAAGAAGCAAGCTGAAAGAATTGTCTGGACGTCTTCACTCCAGGTGGCCTTCCTAAGAGTGAAAAGTCTAATTTACAGGGTCTGTTATTTGAGTAGCATCTTTCAAATATAAGCAGCACAAATACAGGAAATAAAATAACCATGTGGAAGATGCAGACTTTTAGATAAAGGACCTGAAGACATCTCTGTCTTCTTATATGACAGGATTTTTGAAATGTAATTTTCCCTCAAAAGATACAATTTAATTTGTTTGATATCTCTTGGCTGCACATGAGAATTATTACAGCTACACTGAAAGAGCATGCTTTCTGCTGGAGTGATTTGCTAACATCTGGTGAGTTTTTCTCATTTACCTGGGTTCAGGTTTTAAACAGAAACAAGCTTACTTTATCATGTTTCCATAATTCCAATACCATATATAGCTAGGATTTTCCTCTGATGTGTATATACATGTAAAATACATTTTCTTCCATGTGAGAAGTATAATCACTCAAAAGAAAGTGGACATGGGATAAAGAAGAGAATTTACAGTTACCAATAGACACTGTTAGGCAAATTTATCTTCTCAAAGACTCAGTGCAATTTTATCTTTTGGTATTCCTTGGTTTTGTCTCATATACTTCCTTAACGCATTTCATCATTTTACCATTTCTGTAGGACATTGACTGGAAGACACACAATCTTACTGTGTGACAACAATGATATTGAAAATATAGGAAAGTATAATTATTGTGTAAGCAATATATGAATACTGGGTTAAACATGCATTCTTGTTAGCTAAATGTCTGAGACTGCATACAAACCAGAAAACAGATACTTTTGATCTTCCTGGTATGTTCATATACATATATATTCACAGGCGCATGTCTCTGCATGTGTACATTGTAATGTCCTTAGTGCATACTGCAGTTCAGGCATGTTTTTTTAAGAACCTTTTACTTGTGATTTTAATTCTGACACCCAAGTGTAAAATGTTTTAATGTTTGAATTCAAATCTGGTTTACATGCCTTATGAAAAGAATGAGCTAAATAACTTCTGCACAGAAATGATGTTTGAAAAAGCAAGCTTAGTTTTATTTGGGAATAATGAATAATCTACCTAAATTCAAACTAGACTAACAGGAGCACTTTTGTACTCTCATTTTATCTGCAAATTATTGAAGGTTGACCTTGAACCTGAAAATGAAAATAAAGACAATTTTTAAAGTGTCTGTTTCTTATTCCATCCATTTTATGTTCCTGTGTTTGTTGTTGATTTACCTTTACGAGCTAAGACCCTGAGGTAACCTGTGAATAAAAAAGGCATTTGGTGTACAGTATTACTCTCGTACTACTCAGGGCTCATCCAAATATAATGACTGTGGGGAAAAGGGATGACATGGTCCTACCAGGCATGACATGCCCATATAATGAAAACCCCACTTCTCCTTGGGTGGTGATGATAGCTATTTGTCCTTCTTCCTCTCTCGTCATTTTTACCAGTTGCACCCAGAAGATTCATTACTGAGATTACTGTGTATGAACACAGGCTGGGAGACACAGAATGTTCTCTGAGACAAGACATTGGAACTGAGAATGATCAACAAAAAAAAAAAAATAAAAAAAAGAGAGAGAAAGAAAAAGAGTGTGCAGTGAGTGCTACAAAGGAGATGAATGTGAGAGGAGGATTAAATACTACTGTAAGAGACAGCACAAAGTGAACCCTGCTTGAGGGCCTCACTGCTACACACAGAGATACAAATAGCTCTTTTATATGTACTCCGGTGACATACCAATACAGATATGACTTTACTGAGGGCTGTGCATTTGGGGCCCCATTGAAAGCAACGTATCTGTGTGGTTTAGAGTTTTCTATGACACTGAAAAAAAAAAGTCAGTGAAATAATGGCAAATTCTAGTCAGTAATTGTGCAGAGATTAAAAAAAATAAAGAAAGATCCAGTACATGGAAAGAAAGGCAGCCAAGTACAATGCCAAAGAAAATGGCAAATGCTAGCAGCAAAGCTGTTAACCGCCTATCAAGAAGATACATGGTCTCCAGAGTTCCAGCAGCAATGGATTAGCAGCCAGCAGCCTGGTTCACATTCAGAAAAGCGAAGGTGAGGAGTAAATGGGCCATGGTTTATTTTCCCTGTTTATTTAGTGCAGGTGTTGTAAATGCATGAGGCAACTAAAATACACAGCTAATAAAATACCCTTGCTCCTGGCTGAACTGGGAAGCACAGGGTGGAGAGAGTAGCTGCTGTTATTCAACCTGTGCCATA